AGCCTCTTTAACAAATGGTGCTGGACAAACTGGCTCTCTACATGCTGAAAACTCAAACTTGACCCGAGTCAGTGCGGGTTCTTCTTATAGCAGAATATTGCAGAAATAGCAAGCTCCAAGTTTCCCTGAACTTGCATGCATCGTAGTCACCTACAAAGTGTTCAAAGTGTTTGTAGATGACTGCATTTGTAATCAGGAAGCCAATCAGAGCTCACAATGTCAGCTCTCGGCCGCATGCCACTGCATCGGCACACCCGGGGTGAAGGACAATAACCTGAAGCACTCGTGCTTGCCTGGCAGAGGAAGTGAGAGAAATGCTGTCGGGGTCACAGTGGAAGGTGGAGGCCAGGTTCTGCTACACAAAAACCCAGCGCCACTGCACAGGAAACGTGCAGCGGAGTTCTAGGGGACAAGGAGCTAGCTGCTCGTGGCTACAGTCTACACAGCAGCTCGCTACCTTCTGGTCTAGAAGAAACTACAAAAAGAAAAAACACAGAATATATCCTCATTCTGCTAAGGAGGAAGCAAGAATGGTTAGTTTAGTGCCTGTGACAGAGATAAGGAAGACTTTAGATCTAAAAACGGCCCCTCAGTCTCTCAAGTGCAGAAGGTGACTGGATCTCAAGGGTGCTCTGCTCCTCTGAGGGTTCTTCGATGGATGAGTTTAGGGTGGAGTGTGCCCTTAGGAGGGGGCACCCGCCCCAGGAGGGTCCCTGGACCGTGTCCTGGCAGAATGCGTTCTCAGCCCCGGCCACACCGCCCTCCTGCTTCCTGGCTGCCACAGGCTGGCAGTTTTTCTCTGCCACGCCCGCCTGCTGTGCTGTTCCTACTCAGAGCCACCAACCAGAGACTGAGTCCTCTGCAACTGTGAGCCCAAGCATGCTGCCATCCCTCTCCCCGCAGAGGCGTAGGGGCGACAGGTCGGTCCGATTGTGGACCAGTGTCCAAGACCATGAACCAGAAGAAAACTTTTCTCCTTCAATGTTAGTCAGGCGTTTTGTGCTCGTGGTGAAAGGGTGGCCACTGCCCTGGGCTCTCACAAGCACCATTACACCGTGAAGTCAATAAACCCAGCAGTTGCCCCGCTCTTGCCCTTGTGGGAATATTCCTTATGATGCAGTTTTGACTGTACGAAACAGAATGTTCCCTCAGATGCACCAACTTCCCCTTTCTGTCGCTATGGTAAGCAAAGTGCCTGACTACTGCCAAGGGCTGTTCCGAAAATGATAGTGCCGCGCGACCCACACTCTGGGTAAAAGGAGAGGGACTCTCTCACTGGCAGAAGCCCCACTTCCTCCAACTTGTCACAGCTGCGTTATTTCCAGGCTCAAGTTCTGTGAAGAGTTTTGTAAAGGAGAAAGAGATGCATACACATTTCAAAATCCATCAACTAAGTTTTTAGTAAGATATCACCATGTAAGATTTACACTAGAAGAAAGACTGATTCACTGAGGATCCCACTAAAAAATAAAAAATCTTTAGCAATCGTGAGCAGATTATAGACTGGTAAGACTCTAAAAAGCAGGAAGAAAACAAACATTAAACCAGAAGCTCCCAACTGCTTTCCCCAGTTGGACTCTGGTAAGGTTCTGTCAAGTCCTTAGAGAACAAAGATAAAGTTCAGGTGAATTCAACAGTTCAATAGTCCCAAAGGCAAGATGTAAAGATATGGTCATTGTTTTAAATTATAAGGTGCAGTTCTAAGGAGCTAAGTTGAAGAGCTTCTTGAGCTCCTTGTTCCCCACTCTCTGTGGAGGCCGGGGCACATTAAGAGAGGACAGTATTAACTAGAGGGCTGCGCGCGTGCGTGCGTGCGTACATGCGTGGGTGTGCATGTGCGCAGGCTTGCTTGCGGGGGTCACATGGTTGGGTGCTGTGGCTGGATGAGGCAGGCCGACAGAAAACAGAGTTTTCTTTATTTTGCAATTAGCAAAACAGGAAGAATTTTGTTTGTTTAGTTCTGAGGTTTGGACTCTAAAATCTTTAACTCGACCACTGAGAATGGCATTTCTGCAACTTCATGGACCAAAACGTCTTACTCAAGTTCCCTAAGGGCCGTGGGCTGAGGAGTGGATGCCACAAAAAGCAACCACAGAATCCACACTTAGGTAACTTTTATTTTTACTTTTTCTGTGTGTGATCTAGAATATCAAGCTTGTAGGGGGAAGCGCTCACAAACAGCAGTGTCTGTAATGTACTTGAAATTTTGTGTAATTTTAGCCTTTAGAAGCTTTAAAAGTGGTAACAAGTTTAAGACAGAGAAACCGAGACAATCATATTAATATTTGGTAATTGTTTTCAAACTAACAAATTATCTATTACATATTCATTGCACACAAAGTACTGTTCTAGATACTGGATTAGTAAAGTGCAGGGTAGTAAGGTGGATAAGATTCGTATTTGCATATTATTAAATTATTTGTATAATCTAATTAATAAATGAAGCATATAAGTTTTAAAAAATCAAATTAAAGCATGAAAGCCAATTAGTAAAAAGAGTATGAAGCACAGTTTGATGCAGTATTTGGTTAACAGTCAACACAGTGTGTAGAGCGGAAGTTATGGTACCTGGAAGTGCCATAAAAATGATTTAGAGAGATTTAAAGAAAATAATGTCTGGGCTTACTCCAGACCTCTAGATTTAAATTTTTGTGTAGAGTACAGGAGAACAGGTTCAGAGAAAGGAAGGAGGTGGGGCTGAGATCTTTCTGCCCCTGTAATGGTGATCAAAACCAGGGCCTTTACAATGAGCTACGTCCCCAGCCCTTTCTTATTGTGAGATAAGGTCTTGCTAAGCCATTAAAGCTGGGCTGGAATTTTTGATCCTCCTGCTTCGGCTTCCCAGAGCGCTGGAATTACAGACATGTGCCACAACATCTGGCTGGAATTTTGCATTTTACAGGCTAACCCATTTCTAACAGTAAAGGGGGCGTGTCGACCAGACGGGCTTTGGGCGATGTCAGAGTCTCAACAGAAACCCCCTTTTCCATCCCCACGGACACCCACTGTATGAGCAGCAGTGCCTCGCTTCACGAATGCTCCTGCTTGTGAGCAGTGTGGTTCACAAGTGGAAGCATCTGGCAAAATTTTGTTTCCATTCGTGAATTCTCCATCTGATGACCCTGAACTTCACGCATGGGGAAACTTGACTTGGTTCGGGACCAGATTTGTGGCAAGAACTAAGTTCATGAACCGAGGTCCCACTGCACCAGCCTAGACGGGAGCCCGAGTCCACAGTGGAGCTGAAGGATTCTGAGGAAGGACAACCTGCCCCGAGCGTCAGAAGAGACTTCTTACCAAACTGGGAAGAGGAAAGCCTGCCGACGAGGAGGAGCAGCAGGCCTGATGGACGCGCTGGGACACTGCTTACAAGACAGGTTCGTGCCGCAGCTGGACCGAGGGGAGAGTAGGCTCCCCTTCTGGATTCCACTGTGTTTTTATTGTGGAAGAATGTGAATCGTGAGTGGAGAACTTTGCAGCCCTCAGTCCAGCAAACTGTTACTTTGCTTATGCGCGTCTTGGGTGCATTCTTTTTTTTTTTTTTTCATTTTTATGTATTTGGTACAGGGCCTCACTGCGCAGCTCCAACTCATAGTGATCGTCCTATTTTCAGCCTCCCCAGTGCTGGGATTACAGGCGTGCACCACTATGTCCAAACTCCGTTGCCGGCTCAGCATGCCCCAGTGGTGGGGCCAGTGCAGCATGCAGGACCAGGGATTGAATCCTGGTCCCTGTTCTTGCCAAAGCAGGCACTCAGTGTATGCTTAACTGTAAATCTTTGCTATCTTTTTCAAAGGGGTTCCTAGGTTGCTTAATCTTACTGAACTCTTAAATTTAACCAAGAGAAGCCAGGACCACAACAAGTTGTGTTAGCAACGTGAAATATTTGTGCAAAAGATGTCTTTGTAAAGAGAAAAAGCATGAATTTACAAACTGATTTAGCGGCGATGCTACCAAGATTTACAGCATGGGGCTCACACAGCTTCAGCCAGACCCCACTGCTCCAGTTACCTGAGTGAGTGATTCCTGGTAAGATCGGGCTGACGCTCCTGCAGAATTTCAAAGATGTTAGGTTGACGCAGAAATGCAACGATCTTGTCATTGTAAGCTGAGACAAATCAGAAAAGATGATAACTTTTAAATATATCTATTATTAGTTTTGAGCATATAAGACCAAGCTTTAAACATCCATTTCTCTAATTAATATTTTTTGTACTCAAATGAATATGAAACTACCATGCTCCTCCTACCATGGATGTGTGTGTTCCGGTTGGCGTCTGACTTGTCCTGTCCCTGCTGGGCTTGATAAGTGTGGTTACGTAAGTGTGCTTACTAAACTTACATAATGACCCATATTCATTATCAAATGAGAAGTTCACCAACAAAACATTAAATATGAGTCATTTTAAGTTTATTCAAATAAACCTTACAGAAATGACAGCAGTCAGAAATCTTTTCTTAGTTAAATCTTTTTAACTAAAGAAATTATTTTCTTTTTAATGAAAGAAATTATTTTCTGGTTAAATCTTAAGGCAGCAAGAGAGACAAGGATGCAGGCTGGTACCCCCAAATGTAGCAGCTGCTGGGTACAGCGACAGTCAGAAAGTGGGGGAGAAACATCCCCAAACTCAAGGCCATTAAGCCACACATAGCTTGCCATCAGGACAGCTCCAACACAGTCACAGTCCTCAGTGGACTCAGCTGCCTCCTACTCACGGATGGCTAAAATAGTTAGAAACACTTCACTGCAATCACTTAAGGGCTTTGTTAATATTTCTTTTTTTGGTACCAGGATCGAACTCAGGACCTTGTGCCCTGCCAGGCAGGCACTTCAGGTGCTGAGCTATCTCTCCGGTCCCTCTGTTAATATGTCTTTCGTCAAGAAAATAAATTGTTTATTTATTCATTTGTAAACTTATTTGTTTACTTGTAAATTTGTTACTATGGTTCAGGTTAATTATAGTACTAGTAATCAGTATTAGGCACATTCACAAAACTTGGACTGGTGTGTGAATTCTCTTCTATAAGAGGTCCAGGGCCAGCCAACACTTCTGTTGTTATAAATACAATCAAGACACAAGCTCTCCTAAATGGACAAATGATTAAACACACGAAGCACAATGCTACGGCATTTGCCATCTGGAACTTTGCGTTGCCTTCTGCTGCCCACGCAAACAATTTTAGTTAAATGTGGGCACAACATTTTTAACAAGCCTGCTAAAACAGTGCTCCAGTGTAAGTCAGTGTGCTCAAAGATACATTTCATTAATATGCCCTGGAGACACTTACAGGATTGAATCAATATTTATATTCATGATCTGAAACTAGGTAACCTTTTAAGGAACAATTTTAAAATTGTACTGTGCTGTTTAATATCTTATTAGTAATATGTAGATAGTCTTTGACTAGCTATAGTTTTGGTCAGTCGTCAAACTCTTCTTTTTCTTTTGTTTTTTCTGAGACAGGGGTCTTGCTATGCAGTTCAGGCTATCATTGAACACACTTTGTAGCCCATACTGGCTGTGAACTTGTGGCGATCCTCCTGCTTCAGCCTCCCAAGTGCTAGGACTACAGGCGTGCACCACCACGCCCAAATGTCACACTTCTTTAAGTCCTAGGCATTACACTGTATTTCATGACAAAGTTCTTTTTTAAAGAAAAATTTTTAAGTAACAGACAATATATACACCTGTTCTAATTTAAGTTGGACAAGGGGTCTGTGGCCTTCCATCTGTCTTTCCACTTCTCTTGTCTTAGGGACCACAGGTTTGCAAACCATGAGCCTTCCTCATCTTCATCATGTCTACAACAGCGCCAGTCAGCTGCCTTTCAGACCTTTACGCCTGTATCCATTTGCTTTTAGTTTACTGTTCAGCTGGCTCTTTCTGCCTTCTATTTGCTAAAAAGTCCTCAAGAGGGCGCTATCTTTGCTTGCTACCTTGTGAAGCCACCATATATTCAAACACTAAATTCAGTCTCACACTATAAATATAACCTTTCTACATGTATCCAAATGCTTATTTTCAATGGTTGCACAATGCATTGCATTAATAAACTGTCTTTCCTTCACTTCGACAATCTCATGCTTCTGCATAGAAAAGGTAGAGCGATATTTAAAAATCTCATTCCATAGAATTTTCCAAGACCGAAGCCCTTCAAGATGCGAGTCTCTATTCAGTTATAAATTTCCTGTGGATAATGGAATAGTCTCTCAATACAGGGCAAAATAAATCAACAACAAGGGGCCATTCGGATGCTCTGCATGGAGGGTGACAGGAGCCTCAGGGGACTCCAGAGGGTCACGTACCCACTGGAACCATGTCCTGGTACTGTGGCCGGCTGACTGTGTTGAACGTACTGGACGGCCGGGGAAGGACGGGTGGCCCCGCGTGCCGGGAGTCCTCTCCCACCTGTGGAAGAAGGCAAACACCGTTTATGGCTGCACCCAGACTTTTGCAGCTGCCCGCCCGCATCCCAAATGCAGCTTCTTGAAAGGCTTAGCGAGCAGCCTGGCAGACACCAACCCATCAGAACCGGCGCCAGCGGTGACCCTGAACGCCCAGTTCCAGGGATGGGAGGGGAGAAGGCGGAGGCACCATGTCCCTGAGCGGCAGGGCAGTGGGGACAGGTGACACAGCGTGGTTGGACTCGTGAGTAATTGCCGAGGCTCTGGCAGCTCAGGAGCAGACTTGCCGATCAGGAATATCGTCTGCACTGACAAAACCCAACCTGCAGCCCATGCTTACGGGCAGAACGGGGTGGAAGCACGCCCTGGGCTGGCGCCAGGAGGTTCCCTCTTGGCCTAGGCAGGCAGGGGACTCCCAGCGCCAGCTGTGGAGGCTCCAGGCAGCGTCCTCCGCGTGGGTGCTGTCACCCCAGAGGTGAGCTGAGTGCCCTTCCCAGCTCCTGCACAGCAGCTGTCCCGCGTCAGGGAGCTCCCAGCGGCAGGAGTGGAGGAGCTGAGTAGTGGCGCCCTCACATGAATTACTGACCGTGCCTGCTGTGGGTTTAGCAGACAGCTGCAAATACAGTCATGTGGCTATCTGGGCGCTCTACTGCTACTTTGGTTGTCTTCTAGCGCTTCCTTCTGTCATCTAGGAGTTGTAGACAACAGTGGAGCCATAGTGCACAGAGAGTAAGAAGACAGGAAGCAAAATAATGTACCAGATTTCTAACTGGGCACTTTTAATAGCAAACTTTTCTTTCTGCCACTGAAAACCTCCACAATCCTTTTCCCATATTACATCTGGCAGATGTTTGCTGAAGGCTTTCTAAAGGCCCACACACCACCCACAGCTCCCCACAACCCACTGATTGCTTATCCTTCCAGAATGTTCTCGCTCATTCTTCCAAATGTGTTCAAGCAACCTTCAACTGAAGTTGAAGACAACATTTACTGAGCTCTGGTGGCGCCTGACATACATTTCTAAAGTGTTTGTCTCTATGAACAGTTTACATTACTTGGCATTTATACCTTAATACATCTTGAAAGGAAAAAGTGGGAAAAAATGCACAGTTATCTACAAAGGCTGCTGAAGCACAGTGCTCTTTTTCAGCAACTAAAGAAGCTTAGGATCTTTTGCTCACAGCTTTACTCACCTGAACTGTGACTTATAACTGCTCTCCCTATTAAGAGAAACACGTTAAGGACTTTTATTCCTCAGAATGGCAACCACCAAACCCCGTTTCTGCCCTGTAGTAGACATGGGTATTCCCTTGGGGGGAGGAGCCAGGAGAGGGTCTCCTGCCTGGAGTACCAGGATATCCGAACGCTGGACCTGCAGGAAGGACCCTGAGCTGGCTCTCCTAGCTCCTGGCCTAGGCGCTGGCTTGGAGCAGCAGCCTCCCCACTCTGGGGAGCTTCCGCCACTCACTGCGGGTCCTCTGTTAGTCAAAGGGGTTAGCATCCCGGCGCACCGTATTGCCTAACCTCTCCTCTCGCTGTGCCGCCTTCACGCCCTGAACAGCCCGAAGGCTGGGCGATCCCATTTCTTGAACTCAGAGCGGGAGCCTGCGAGCTTGGAGCACTGCGGGCAGTACTCCAGGTGCCCACGCGCCCGGTGCCGCACGCACCGCACCGCACCGCACTGCACGCCTGCATCCCGCACTGCAGGCCTGCATCCTGCACCGCACTCCTGCAGCCCGGCAGCGCGGGCCGAGCGCAGCGTCCCGGAGGGAAACCTTGGCTATAGTGCTGCTAACACACGCTTAAAGCCTCGCTCCTGCAACAGGCTGCTGCTGGGCCTTGAGAACAGTCCAGTCCCGAGGGACAGGGTTTGAAGGGCAGAGGCAGGAAGCCGTTCGTCCCAGGCGAGTTTGTGGGGAAGGCAGGGCCGCTGCGCGGAGTGGAGAGCGCAAGGTCAGGGGCTGGAGGGCGCCGGCCACGCGGCCAGGTCAGCGAGTCCCGCTCACGCTCCGCACGCGCGCGGGCCCAAAGGTGACAGGTCTCTTCTGTTCTTAGATGCTCCTGCTGTCCTCTAGTTCACCACTAATGGCTTATATGACAGCAAAGTGAAGATTTATTGGCTACTCATAAAACTAAATATTTTGGTGCATACCTCACCCTGCAATAGATTTATATATCATTTTTATATGACCTCGTGTGTGTTCTTCTCTGTCTGCGCCAAACCAGTAAGCACGTGACGCACTGGGGCAAGTGTGTAAATCGTGAGGGGAAATTCCAACACTAGAATTTGGATGCCTTGAATCCAGCTATTTATTGCATTCATAACTATGTTTCTTTAGGAGAGACTACAAAAATATTTGACCTACCATGTAACACTGAAAGTAGGATAGACAGAAAGGTATGCAGGCAAAGAATCTTCATTCTGATTGTCTTTGGGAATTTTTAACCAAGTAGTGATACCTTCCAAACACAAACCCATGCTAGGGAAGACTGAACCACCCGCCTTTTATTCACTCTGGCTAGGGAGGGAGGAAAGACTTGGTGTTTGGGTGAGAACCCTGGAGCGCCCCCGTGTGGCGTCCGCGGGCCACTGCGGGCTGGGCGGCCGTCCCTCCCGCAGCCCATTTCTGGATGGTTCTTAGGGTCGCAGGTTCCCAGGGCCGGGTCTAACGTTGCAGAACGCTACAGAAGGTTCCGCAGCCCGCGCCGCCCACAAACACTTTAACAGAAGCCAGCAAATCTCAAGAAATTCTTCCCTGTGCTGAACAAAATCTTCACCCACCAAACTTACATCCTTGTCTTATTTTTTTATTAGGACACGTTGTGAGTTATTAATGGCCACATTCTTCGCAGGTAGCTGGTACTCGAACTTGACCCGCCCTCATTCTGTTGCAATTCCTTTCCCTTAAAGCTTCCTCCCCGTCTCTTAGTTAACTTTCCATTTTCAAAAGATCGGTCTCCCTGTTTCTTATTAGCTATCCTTCATTAAAAAAAAAAAAATTACATTTTAGGTTTGTCGTAGGAGAGAAGCTTATGCAATACATAACTGTGTGTCCTGTCCTACTGATTTCACTTAACATTATGTCTGAAGGTGTGTCCGTTTTCCTACAAATGGCTCGAGTTTGTCCTTCTTTATAGCAGAGTAGCACTCCATCCTGGGTATTCAAAAGGGCTTATCACTGTCTTTTTCTAGCACATCAACAACTCCTCTCACTTTCCTCTCAATTAAAAAAAGCTATTTTTACTGTTTCTTCATGTGTTCTACCTTTTACATTTTTAACTAAGGCTGTGTTTCCAGAAAGCCTCATCAATATCCCACAGCTTCCCAGCCTCTGGGTGGTAGGTACCCTTTAGGTCAAATTGGAAACCCACAGCCACCCAGGACGACAAGAGGCCATCCTGCCGGCCCCCCAGGCACCCGCAGCCGGGCCCACTCACCTCCCCCGCGCTGTGGCTGCGCTGCCTGGTCAGGTGCTGCCGGTGGGCCAGGGCACTGGTCGGCCTGCTGCTCTGCAGTGGGAGCCGAGGGTCGATGAACGTGGTGGTCCTGGAGTTGTGGTCCACAAAGAATGCCTGGGAGGATGCAGGGCAGAGGCCCCATGAGCACCACGCTGTCCCCAGTGAGCCCGGCCGAGTCAGGCCACCCAGCCCCAGTGGGGACCTCAGCCACCGTCGCACCCCTCCAGGATGTAGGGTCCTCACACGCCAGGGAAAGAGTAAAACACAGTGGTCAGGCTGAGTCTGGGCCTGGAGGGAAAGGCGGGCGCTGGCCTGGTGTCCAGGATACCCCACAGCCCTGCTCCTGGAGGCCTGCAGGATGTCGCTGGCTGCTCCCAGGCTCCCAGTGACTCAGTCACCAGTGCCTGGCATTCACCGACACCCACGGATTGCTTCCCTGAGCAGTCAGCCTCTGAGCCCTGTACTTGTCCCCTCCTGGCCTGAACTCTGCTCTGGCACACCAGAGCTGTATCTTCTACCTCCTAATTAGTACTCAGAGCTTGTCCGCTTCTCTGCCACCTTTATCCATGGAGCCCTGGCCTCACCATGCGGCTGGTTCTTCTCCACACTGATCACAGCACCAGCCCAGGCCCAAGGCCAACAGCCACACGCAGCTCTGCGAGGCTCTCAGGTCCCTCTCCTGCTGCCTGCCTGCCTGCCTGCCTGCCTGCCTGTGCAGCCCAGGCACTGATGATGCTCGGAGACTCAGCACGTTCCAGGGGTGGCCAAGCCAAGTCGCGCCCTTTGTGGAAGCCACGGGTCCCACATACGACCCTGGTACCCTGCCACTCACACCCAGCCTCCTCCCCACACTGTGTCTGGAGGGCAGGGGATGACAACGTCATGGTGGCGGCCTGAAACCTGGAATGGGTATAAACCACTTACCTCCGGGACACGGGAAGGGCACACCGGAATACAGAGGAGACTGGTATTTTCATGTGTTTAACTATAAAACCCCACACAAGTACTATACATCATTATCGTGGGGCCAAAAGTTGGAGATTTCCCAAGTAAAATTAGCTCAAGGTCATATAAGACCCATTCCTTCAAGTATAACTGGAAATCGTAAGCTTTCCATGGTCGAGTGAAGTCGAATGAGCAATTAAAGATGAAAAGGAGGATCAGGACAGCCAGGGCACTCAGCATCTATGAACCAAGTGGCTGGGCACGTGACATGAGGCAGATATCCTGAGCCCAGAATGCAGCTCAGCTGACACCAAGCACCAGAAGGTCAGAATGAATAAAGAGACAGACTGTAGGGGCTGGAGAGATAGCTCGGCAGTCTAAGCATCCGCCTGGCAAGCACAAGGACCTGAGTTCCATCCCCGGTACCCCGCTCCGTGCCAGCCCCATGCCAAGCCCCGAAACCATGCATGGTGGCGCATGCCTGTAATCCCAGCGCTCAGGAGGCTGAGACAGGAGGATCACTATGAGTCTGAGCTGTGTAGCAAGACCCTGTACCAAATAAAGAGACAGACTAAATTTATACCAAGGGAAGCAATCACCTTGCCATTAGGGAACAAAACCTTCCTACATAATCAGGAAATCGAGCAAGGAGAACTTGTAGGTAGCTGTGAGACAGAAGAGCAGTGTCCTTCATAGAGAAATACGTTTTCACAAAGCCCTGGAAGACCAAGCAAAAATAAAGCAAGGACACAAGACGTTTTGGCAGCTCCTCCTTGTAATATCCAACTTCCAGGCAGGAGGACAGATTGAGTGGAGATTCCCGTGAGGTTCTGTCAGCAGCCACCTATCCTGGGTGACGGCTGCTCGTCTCTAATCTAGCAGGTGAAATACTCTTCTCACCTCTTGTAAAAAGCGCACCATGAACCCAACGCAAGCCTGCGCGGACAGCTGTGGGCCCCAGATGTCACCCAGCCTTCATGTGACTCGTATCCTTGTTCTTTATTTTTTGACACTTTGCAAAATGTCATAAACTAGGAATTAAACTATTTTTACAAACAGATCTTGTTTCTCTTTTACATAATAGGCATCATAATTGAGTTACCATTTTCTTTATGGAAACCAACATTAGCAAACTTTGATTACTAACAGTGACATAAGCCATATTGTTTAAGAAGAAAATACTAAGAGTGCTAAAATAGATCACTGATTTACACTGCGTAATTTCCTCAGCATGCTTTAAAGGTATAGGTGGCCATTATAAGGACAATGATGCATGTGTAATTATAAGGACCAAATGGGTGTCTACATCTAGGTCAACAGTGATTCGCACGGAGTGTCCTGGCCTAATTGGATGTTAATATGCTTGTCTGAAATCCACGCTCTATGACTGTCTTGGGAAGAGGACCTTTCTTACCGCCCTGTGATCCCCAGGAGCTCTTAGGGCTGTACCTGCAAGAGCAGAGCTCACTAATAAGATATCAAGTTGACCACAGTTCCCACACACAGGTCCAGGCAGATAGCTCAGTAGGGTAAGCACTTGCCTGGCAAGCACAGGGTCCCGAGTTCAATCCCTGGTACTGAAAACACACACACACACACACACACACACACACACACCCCACACAGTTCCTACGTGCAGCTTCCTGGGCAACACAAGTGTTGAGCAGCATAAATAATAAAGGGCACAGGTATGACACACCAGAATCACATGCAAGCTGGGTGAGATTTGGGGCCAAAGCCTGTCAGTACAGGTTGGCATCAGGTTCAAGGTGAACTTTCTATAGAAAAGGGAGAGATAGGAAGGGAGGAAGGGGAAGGGGTGTTGCTCCTCGGCCTTGGAGTTAGAAACTGGGTTGAGAGCTCAGCTTTGGAAGCTCCAATTGGAAACTTTTACTCAAATGTATTAAGGAAATATGAAAGCACATTCTTTTACACGAGCACAGAAATGGCCAACCTTTGGGAAAGTTAGATGTGTGTGTGTGTGTGTGTGTGTGTGTGTGTGTGTGTGTTAGCGGCAAGAAGCTAAAGACCACAGAACAGAAAGGGTAGAAGGTTTTAAAGACACCTTCTACTGTAGACACATTCTAAGCTACTGAGTTAGAACTCAAATGTAGGGAGCAGAGCTGTGCTTGTTTGTTGGGGATGTTGCCCAGGGCAAACCACTGGAGGAACCAGGGATTGAACTCAGTTCCTTGCGCTTGCCAGGGAAGCGCTTATTCCACTGAGCCATCTCCCCAGCCCCTGAGCAAACTACTTAAATTGCCAAACCCCAGTTTCTTTTCGGTTAAACAGCGATAAGCACACCTATACTCAGTAAAGAGTTCACATAAAAACACAGAAATGTCTGCTTACTTACATAGATGAATCTCTTTCCCCACTCCTTCTCCTGTCCTTCTCCTCAACTCAGTAACTCTTTCCTTTTGAGTAGTTTTCTGTTTTAATTCTAATTTGTATTCTTTAAAAAATAAAAATAAACGTAAACACGGCGCCCAGCACCGCAGATGCGAGTTAGCGATATTATCGTGAGCCGGGTTTTGCTTCTAAGACATTTGCCGGAGGATCGCGGTGTTTCTTACTGTCATCCACCCAGAGGGCTCACCAGCATGCTCAATCAGGGAAATCCTGCCTCCAGGCTCTCTACACCAAGCCTAACATAAATTCTGACCAGGCCGATGTCAAAGGTAGTGTTTCCGGGAAGTCCCCGCTGAAGAACACATCGGGCTTTCCTTCTGTCCCTCACCCACCCTGCTCCCTGAAACAAGGTTGTGGTAGCGGGAGCCCCCGCAGCCACTCCGCAAGCATGCAGAGCGAGGGAAAAGCAGCTGGGAGGAGCCCGGGAGCTCTTTCTTCCCAGGGCGCCACCTATCTCTGAGCTCCTCCGTGTGAAGCGCAGTCTTCCAGCTGAAATGTGTAGATTCGCGTGCAGCACAGGCAAGCCGAGCCCTCCACCTGCAGAAGCAGCACGGCCCCCAGCCGAGCGCCGGGCACAGCAGTGCACGCGGGAGGCTTCGGCATCTGGTGATCAAGGACGGCTCTCGTCACCCGACGCTAGTACTGGGGGTAAGACCTCTCCACTGGAGTGAAAGACGGAGTTGGCGGCTTACAAAGCCAGGCTCTGACCCCAGCTCTCTAATTCCAAGGCCAAGGAAGCCCCCCCCCCAACACCCCTCTATTTCCACACTGCAAAGGCCACCGGGCTCTCGGCCCCCGCCCCCGCTGCCTGGCCGGGGCAGGACTGCGGGGTGCTCGCAAAGGCGCGCTGCTTCCGCGTCCCAAACTGCTTGGCAGCGAAGGTCCTGGTCGAGAGTCCTGGTGCACACGGCGCAGCCAGGGCCACAGCGGAAACGCGCACCGGAAGCACCAGGAACAGTTCCGAGGCTCGCGCTTTCGCTCTGCAGCCGGCCGGCTGCGTGATCTTGGGAGGCTGGGTGACCTTGGAAGGGTCACCTTCATGCTCCGCTCTATCTGTGTCAGAGGGATAACTCAGGTCATGTCAGGGTTGTGAAAAATACATTCTCCCTCCTGGAAGAGCATGGAGGCCTGGAAAACTCCCTGTGTGGATTCTAGGCACGCGCAGCAAGGGTCAGAAAGCGAAGGACTCTTGGTGCAAGCCTCTTATTTTTAATTTGGGTCACTTTGATGTCACAATTTTTGAATAGCCTGCAACTAGTTATGAAACCACCCGGCGTGTGCGCACTGTCCGCACAGACAGGACTGTAAGTGCTGATGACAAGAAGAAAGTAATTATCTGAAGAAGCGAGTCCTTTCCCTGCGGGCGTCGCCCGTCGCATCTCGAAGGGCCTGTGAGCTGCATCAGGGAAATCCCCTCGCGGGCCTATGCGGGGGCCAGCCGCACCGACCGCTCCAGAGCCGACAGGAAGGCGAGGCCACACACTGGAATCTCATTTTGCAAACTTCTAGCCTTTCACAGCTGCGGGGCAGAGTAAGGAAATGTGCGCTGGAGGAGCCAAATGGAATTTCGGTGAGTCCAAACTAAATATATTTCTTTCCTTACACAATTCTTTCCTTCATTTTTCAAAAAGAAAAAAAAAAAAACTTCTTTATTTTAAGAAAAGAAAATGCCATCAGTTTGTGAAGAAATACCAACCCCAGGCTCAACAAATCTATGTTAAAGAAGTCTGAAATTGTTTCCATTTAATATTGTGCCA